ATATACCACTAAAACTCACTTTGAACTCCTGTTCCATTTAGTTGGCGCTTTCTAAACTTTTCTACATCTTTACTTCGTTAGGAGAGCTTCTGCTGTGTAATATCGATGCATGATGGCATAGTGCTCTTCACAACGCCCAGCATTACCGATGTGCTTGGCTTTCCACGCGATATGTGGCTAGGGCGTTCGTTCATAGATTTCGTACACCCTAAGGATCGCGCCACTTTTGCCAGTCAAATAACGACCGGCATACCAATTGCAGAGTCCCGCAACAGCGCACCGAAAGATGCACGCAGCACCTTCTGTGTGATGTTACGTCGTTATCGTGGCTTAAAATCTGGTGGTTATGGCGTTATTGGACGTCCGGTGAGTTATGAACCCTTCCGTTTGGGACTGACATTCCGTGAAGCACCCGAAGAGGCGCGTCCCGACAACAATCGCGTATCGAACGGTACGAATATGTTGCTAGTCATATGCGCCACGCCCATCAAAAGCTCATATATAGGTATGTATACATGTTTGACTTAATGCGTGTTGGCTCATTTGCATCAGCGTATTTTTTGGGAAATTCTCTTGCAGTGCCAGATGAGATACTCTCGCACAAAAGCCCTAAATTCTCCATACGTCACACAGCGACGGGTTTAATCTCGCATGTAGACAGCGCCGCCGTCTCCACATTGGGCTACTTACCACAAGATCTTATTGGACGTTCAATATTTGACTTTTATCATCCAGAAGATCTAATGGTATTGAAGGAGATCTATGAAACCGTTATGAAGAAAGGACAAACAGCGGGCGCTTCATTTTGTAGCAAACCGTATCGTTTTTTGATACAGAACGGCTGCTATATTCTTTTGAAAACAGAGTGGACAAGCTTTGTCAATCCATGGTCACGTAAATTGGAATTCGTTATAGGACATCATCGAGTGTTTCAAGGTAAGTTTTAGGAAAAGTAGGCGCTGAACGTTGAAAACAATAGTATTCTTTGAATTTTAGGTCCGAAACACTGTAATGTTTTTGATTCGGCACCAGCTAATAAGCCAAAACTTTCCGACGAAGTACGCAGCCGGAATATGCGCATAAAAGACGAGATACTCAAACTGTTGGAGGAGTCGATATCGAGACCGTCGGACACTGTAAAGCAAGAGGTATCGCGACGTTGTCAAGCGTTAGCTTCATTCATGGAAACTCTGATGGACGAGGTGACGCGCACCGATCTTAAGCTCGAGCTGCCGCATGAAAATGAGTTGACAGTCTCCGAACGAGATTCGGTGATGTTAGGCGAAATTTCGCCACACCATGATTACTACGATAGCAAAAGTTCGACGGAAACGCCGCCCAGCTACAACCAATTGAATTATAATGAGAATTTGCAGCGTTTTTTTAACAGCAAGCCTGTTACCGCGCCCGTCGAGGTCGACCCAATGAAGAACGAACAGTCTTACAGTATTTCGGCTGATGCACGGAATACACTCAGTCCGGTGCAATGTTTCGAAGGCAGCGGTGGCAGTGGGTCCTCGGGAAATTTCACATCCGGCAGCCACATACACATGAGCAGCATTACAAACACCAGCAATGCTGGTACTGGCACGTCATCGGGCAGTGCACAGCTAGTCACGTTAACCGAATCGCTATTAAATAAACATAACGACGAAATGGAGAAATTTATGTTAAAGAAACATCGTGAGGCGCGCGGTCGTTGCGGCGAGAAGAGTAAGAAGGCAACTGAAAAGGTGATGGAGTATAGTGGGCCGGGGCATGGTCTAAAGCGCGGCGGTTCACATTCATGGGAAGGAGATGCCAACAAACCGAAACATTCGCATACCAATGTTATGGATGGGCAACGCGATTACGTGGATCACCACAATATGGCGACCAACTCGACTAGCAAAGCGTACGGCACGCTACAAACGACACTGGGTGAGACATCGTTTGCCGGTTCATATGCTGCAGCTGGACTTTCCTCCACGCGCAACGTCAATCTTTGGCCACCGTTCTCGGTTGGCATCAACACCTCGCACACATTGCAGACGGTGGCGCAAAGCGGGTTCACGCCGCAGCACAGCATCTTCCCGACATTATATTACATACCGGCGACCGCAGCAGCTGCTGCCGCTGCCGCAACACAGGCGCAAGTCAAACCCAACTTGACCGACATGCCGAGCACGTCGGCACAAGCCCTGCCGCTGCAATATATGACTGGCGTTATGTATCCACACCCCTCGCTCTTCTATACACATCCGGCGACAGCCATGATGTACCAGCCCATGTCGTTCTCAAATATGGCCAACTCTTTGGCGTTGTCCGAACAGGGTAACAGCGCGAGCGCTTTCAAAACGGTTAGTATATATGCAACATACTATATATTTGATGATTGTTATTCTTAAATTTGATTACCACCAACAGAATCAACCGTGTATGCTGGCGCCGACGCCAACGAAGACTCAGGGCGCCTTCCACTCGATCACACCTGCGCAATTGCAACGTCCGTCATCGCAAGCGACATCGGTGAAAGCCGAACCCGGCTCAAACATGGTAAGGATATTCGTTTTAACTGTACAGTAGGGAAAATTATTATTTATTTTATATACGAAGGCGCCTTCGGATTCATCGAAAAAGGGTATTGCTGACTCTCCAATTCCATCGGTTATCGGCGATTATGTGTCGGATCAACTCAATCCAAATGATCTGAAGGTGCGTAAGTTAATTATTTAGATTAAGTAGGTATTTAGATAAGTTTCTTAAACATATCAAAGTTCGTATTCTTTTTCAAGTCATGCCTACGTTTAAAGACATTCTGATGAAATAGAGCAGCCTGGTAAGCTAATACTGTCAAAATAGCGAACACCGGGATTTGTTTGTAGTCCCACGGAGAAATTTTAGGTTACCATGTTTAACCTATCAGTATACTAATACTAATCTCTGAGACTATATTTTTCACGAGAGTTGTCGAAGGAGAATAACATAAAATACCATGGTGTTTTAATCTCAGTAAACTTTATCAATGCATGTGAGCTGACTCTGCTTGAAGCAAGTATTTTCGTGGTTTTTCGATGAACATGGTCGCTCCAACACATTTCCGTAACCCGAATTCATATCCGACTAAAAAATAAAAAATTTGAGTTGGTAGCGATGCTTAAAGAGCATTTCTCTTTTCTCTTCAACAAGGGGCAAGAAATTTTTGTGCGGATTCCACAAAAAAAAAAAAAAACAGATACATATTCGGTAACTCTTTGAAGTGTGATATACTAGAAGATGGTCTTATCGGTGTTACGTTAGCATAATAACTTGATTGACCGATCGCCTACAGAAATGTTTCCGTTTAACGATATGTTAGGAATTGTGGACTGCTGTTCTCAATTTTATTAATTTTTTATAAAGGAACGTGGACGTGATTTTTTTGTTTAAAACGTGTCATATAATGCAGAGAAGATGCTAGGGAAAATCCTTTCGGATCACGCACCTTCTGTTCTCAGTCGTAACCTATAATAAAGAGATGAAGAGTGATGTTGTTGTTGTTGTTTCAACGGGTACGGTAGTCATCGAGTTCTTCAACCGGTAGGCAAATGAAAAGTACTGTTTCGACGGGGTCGGACCAAAGGAAAAAGGGTGTGGGATGTGGAGGGGTAGCAGGACATGTAAAGAGGTGGCTAGTGTCATACGGGGACTCATTGTAAGGTTCACATGTCAGAGTCTATTATGGATAAGAGTTTAACCTGCTACAGTATCCAGAACGAAGCCGCACAAGGACTACTCTCGTTTCTCGCAGCAACTCGAGCTTTTCGTTCGCAACAGCCGGTTATACGTTACCGGAATTGACCCGGTTTTTAACCAGGTAACCCCGTTTACATCGGTAAATCTTTGTATAGGCTAAAGACTATCGACATTTTTGGTTTAATACACAACGTCTAGTTCAGAGAAGACACGGCTTATAATTAGTCACGTATTTTTTTAGCTTAATTTTGTTTTGCAGGTTGTAATAGCATAAACCAGTTCCATCATTATACGATAATAAGTCGAATAATTATTTATTTTAGCTGCCGAACACGGATAGCAATGCCAACAGTGATGACATGGATGGTTCCAGCTTCTCATCGTTTTATTCCTCTTTTATAAAAACCACCGACGGATCAGACAGTCCACAAGAAAACGACAAGGACGGAAAACATCGAAAATATAAGGTATGTTTACGACGAAAGAGAATAAGCTAGTATACTTCTTTTGTAAAAGTAAAAAAGTGAAAAATAAAACAAAAACAATAAAAATAATAACTTAGCTAAAATGCCCTCCACAAGGGCATTTTTCAACACAAAAAGCATTATCTTGATTTTTTTCTTCGGAGTTTGTAACGACGCCTCGGACAATAATCCATGCCAAATTTCGTGAAAATATATCGTTGTTGTTGTTGTAGTGGCAGAATACCGTCAAGTAAACAGTCTTATCTAAACCAAAGAAACACGAAAAATAAATCTTAAGAATTTACTCGAATCGTCGTTATTTCCGCTAAAGCAAAGTTAACCTCTTTCTTCCAGGTACAAACCGACTCTAAATCAATGGACAATGCAGAAGAAGACCAAACATTACATGGTGATGGTTAAAAACCAAAGTACACGTGAGTTGCTCATCAACGTGATGGCAAGTTTTGTGGCAACGTGACGATCAGTAAGCGGCAATTTTATTTACAAACTATTCCCACACAAGTCCACTTTGACACAACTTACGATACGAAGAAGTGTGAGTCAAGCGTACAAAATCACATTGGAATATTTTTAAGGCAGAATTCAACTTATTCTGAATTTCAGATTAGCGCAAGTATTGTCGCTGGCATACAATTAAATGCTGAAAATCATAATTTGCGATTCGCTACGTAACAATTGTGACGACGCTATGGTTATGAACCCCCATTTTTTTAACGGACGTAGTCTTCATTATAGAAATTGTTTATGTACATAAGAATATACATATGCAAAATTAAATTAAATTTAAAAAAACTAAGGAAGTTTACTCTGTTACGCAACAAAGTGAAATACAATAAAGACAGAATATATTTATTTAGAAAAAAGAAAAAAAAAAAGTGAACTTACTTATATGCAACATATAGTTTTTCATTTTCGTTTCTTTTTCGGCTTAGCGCTACCACTCTCCGATTTCTCCTTATCAGTGGGTTTTTTAGCTGACTCCTTTGTTGTTTGAAATTGTTGCAAATCGGCACAAAAAAGCACAGCTTGCGCCCAACCCGCATACGGACCGTAAATGTTACGTAAATGATTTGCGATTTCTTCATAAATGCGCGGCGTGACGGTTTTCACCGTCGCCAATTGTTCGGGCATATAAACCGTTTGCGCAACTTTATAAATGTGAGTATCAATTGGCACGGCCTCCAAATGACCCAACGACATGAGGCAAATGCAATCCGCCACTTTGAAACCGATACCAGGTAAGCGCACAAGTTCCTGCCGTGCGTCAGCGTAGGACATCTCACGCAACTTTGTAAACCACGCCTCACCGCCAAACTCTAGAATTTTCGCTATAGTCTGCGCGATAAATTTAGCACGATAGCCGAATTTGGCTTCGCGCAAATTTACTTCTAACTAAAAAAAGAATTAAAGTTTGTTTTTGGTACATAATTATGATATACATAAAATAGGAAAATCATACCTCTTTCTCATTTTCCTTCAAAGCTGAGAGTGTAGGAAAAGTAAACTCTTCTCTTTCATTAAAATGTCCAATGCTTTGACCATATTTTGAGCAAAACCAATCAATCATTGCAGAAATTCTTAAACGAGTAAAGTAGAAAATCATTAAATAATTTTTGCAGCTCAAAGAAATTGACTTAAGAAAGAGAAATTAGATTTAAATTATAGGAATCTTACAACAGTACTATTCCTTGGATAAGTATTCTTTGAACTGATACCGTAATTTTGGAAATACAAACAAATAAATATTAAAAATACAGCTACTTCTACGCTTAAAAACATAAGTTGCATCAAAAAAGCACATTGGCTTTTAGTAAGCATTGAATGCATTATTTAAATTTACAAAAGCTTCTTACCTTTTAATGTGATTGTTTTGGCTGCATATGAATGATAATATATTTTCGAGTGGTTCTTGATCCAGCACACGCACAGCTTTAATATGTGGCGTTATAGTATCAAAGTGATTGTGGGCCGCGCGCCACTTATCCATATTTTTATTTAAATCGAAATTAAGGCGGAAGTAACGCTGCAACAGTTCGCGATAATACTTCGCTTTGTGTGTATTCGTATTAGGCACATCCGGTGCTGGAAATGCTTTATATGAAATAGCGGAATCCGTTTGACTTAACTGCCAATAGGCATTGTAAGCCACTCCTTGGAATAATGGCGATTTGGTATCATTCGAATTGAGTTTTCTCCAGCTATAAAGGATTCATATATGGTTAAAATATTAAACGTCATTGTTAAACAATCTCACCGGAAACTCTGCCCTCCAACTAGTGTAACCTCTAAATTAAGTAGTTTGGCTGGTATTGCGATTTCGCCAACAAAACAAAGTCCCATTGTAAAATACTTTTTGGAACTACTTTTTACTTAGCATTGAAATTTGAATTGAAAGATTTGATATTATGCCTGGCAAAGAACAGCTGAGCGGGATTTATATCAAGTTTATGAAACAGTGTTGGGAAACGTTCAAAGAAATATTTTATCTTATTGGTTTTTCGCGCAACTAACTAGATAAACTATGTAAGAGAAAGGTTTTTTGAATTATGGATATCAAATATAATACACGTTTTGAACTAGTATTATATATTTCTCTTGGTTATTTATTAATGCGTGCTTGTTACAAATGATTGACGGATTTAATTTGGCAATCAGTTTTGACAGCTGTTGTACTTACAGTTCACAATAACGAATAAGAAGAAGAAAAATCGTACAAATTTTTCACAATCGTATTTCAGCAATCATACGTTTTTTGGGCTTCATTCTATTTGTTTGGGTTGCGGTGTAATTTTTGTGGCGCACACGCGTACAACAGTAACATAAATTGTGGTTGGAATTATACTTAGTGTTTTGAATAATGCAGAATTAAATTATATAAAAATAGTGATAAAATTTTTAGGGTAAATTGAATTTAACAAATTTACACAATTGGAATGTGTATACAAAAATTTTGAAACGATGAAATACATGTGCCATACAACCAAATATATTTATCTCGAACATACTAACGTGTAATAATTAAATAAAATAATAATTCTCTATGAGCTACATAATATTATCCTTTCAACTACATTCATTACATTGATAGCTACAGTAACGATTTGCTAAAAGTGGTAAGCATTAGGTAAACACGGAAATCAACAAATAGAAGCAATCGAATATAGAAGTGAAACAAAGAAAATATATAAATCTAATTTACAGTGTGTGTGCGCGAAAAAAGTCAATCGTCACATCCAGAGCGTGTTTTAAAAGGTATTAGAAATTATTGAGCGAGTAGAACAGTGTTTAATTGGAAACTGTAATTATTAAACAAATTGATGGAATTTGAAAATGCGCAATTCATTGAAGCTGCTGCTGCGGCGTCGGCAACAACAAGTATTGCAAAAGGTAATCTACGAATTCTGCGGAATGTACAAATAAAAATTATGTCTAAATGAATTTATCTAATTTATTGCAGATATACCTATCGCTGAACATATACAATCCGGTTCCGGCCGCTTAGCGTCCAATGACAATGACGCGACAACCACACAATCGGCGTCCAACGTTACATTGGAGAATAAACAAAACCACCCAAAAATGCAAAAACAGGCAATGTCTGCTGATGAGCGAAATGCAACAAAACGATCTCTAGTCATATTGGCAGCGATCTTCATAGCCAGCTTATTCGCAATGGCATACGTGTACATGATATTTCCCGAATTGAATGAGTAAGTAGTATATGTTACGTGTGGATGGGGTGATCACTTCAATGCCAATGATTATACAAATTGTGTGTTGTTTTGTTGCTTTATTGCTTCCCACACATGTACATACACTCATGTGTATATGCTTTGTATTTGTTGCTTTGTGGGTTGCGTTTTATATTAATGGCATTAAATTTAAGTATTTTGCATAAAAGAGGCTGTCTTTAATGGTAAAGTGTCTGATGTTTTCGATAAATTGATTGCATATTTACATATTTAAATAGATTTCAATCGCAAAAAGTTATTCAATTATTATTGACAGTAAATAGTTTGCCGCTTCTGTGTTGGCACAATGTTAAACATTTTTTAGCGAGCTAATATAAACACTAATAGTTGTTTTAATCAAAGTTCATTCATATTTTAAAATATATGGTAAGAAGGCGATAACGCTGATTAGAGCAAAAAACGTAATTAAAAATCGAAAGTGCATGTTAAAAAAACAATTATAAGGTGTTTAATTTTTGTATTAAGGTGTATGTAATTTTGCTACAATATATGTTTAGGCACAGAAAAAACATAATTTCTTAATACATGTGCAAACATAGCTACGTTGTACACCTGTTCAAACTACTATGTATGTAAATATATTAAAATACGTAGACATATACATCCGCTACAAAAATTCCATATTATATACACACTGTGTTCTTACAAATTAGTATTCATATGTGTTTATAGTTCGTTTTGAAGAAAATAATTAAATTACAATTTTAAACATAAAAGTGACCAAAATTTAAAATTGTGAAATAATACAATTTTAAAGTAATAAAATTAATTCCACTGGCTTAATTACATAAAAATTTGTGAGATGAGCTAATAATCCTAAAGCCTTTAATAAAAACGTAGTGACAGAAAAAATAATTTAGTAGTTTAGGCGCTAATGTGTTGGCGTATGATTAGAATATCACAAAGCCTACACATAGTTTGAAATTCAGAAACCGTCTTAAATCTGAATTTGCAGGAAATATGACACTTTACAAAATCAAAAAAAAGATATCTTATTTTCCATATATAATATTAGTAGGGCAAAGCGCAAATTACATGGTGAACGATAATACCAGCAACAACAACAAAATGCCACGTTTCCTTTCCATACTTTTCCATTTACTATCTTAATAACTTTTCACACACTTAAATTTTGTTTTTGCAATTATATTGCAGTTTTACACTGCCATCTGAAAAAACATTTGCAGGCGTAACCATCATAAAGTATGCATATGTCTGTATGTAAACAATGAATATATCTTATATGCCATTATTGTGGCTTTTCGCAGAAAATAATCAGTAAAATATTGATATAGATAAATATATTTTGTATAAAGTGCAGAACTACAAGTAGAATACAAAACGAGAGTTAAATGAATATGTATATCACATAAGTAATTTGATTAGATGCAGCTTTTCATAAAGTATAATAATCTGATGTCGTAATATATTTTATTTGGCACTCAATTAACTTTGAAGTGTTGTATTCAAAATTGCTCAGAATCAAGTTCAGCTATTCTTTTGTATATCTGGCAAATAATGTTTCATATATATGTGTATATATATTTGTTGTTGTATTTATTTCAGATCGGAGAAGCAGCACATTAAGATACCCCGTGACATTCAAGACGCTAAAATGTTAGCCAAGGTTTTGGATCGTTACAAGGACATGTACTACTTCGAAGTGATGTTTGGCGTCGTTACGGCTTATGTATTGTATCCTTTTTGAAAATTTTTATGCCGTCGAAAGGTTTGGTCATATATTTATGATAAATAACATAAGTTTGTGCTCAATAGAGAACGTCATATAAATTTTTATATCAGGTTTTGGGCTAAGTTAGCTTGCCCACACTTATTTTAAGTCACATAAACATCACGTTTTAATAATTCAGTTCACAAATTGGCTATACATAGAGTACATACATACATGCAGACAYAAACAACAAAAAACACAAAGATTACTTAATTTTGATCGAACAGTTGTATGACATCTTCATATGTGCTATAATGGTGCAATATTTCTCGGAGATTTTACCGTTGTCTTGAACAATAATCCATGCCAAATTTCCTTAAGATATATTAAAAAGTTTTCAATACAAGAACTCGGCTTTGATCATTTTGTATGAGAGCTATATGCTTTAGTAGTGCGCTGTCAATATTACTGTCAAATGAGCAGGTTTTTGAGGATAAAATCACGTTTGCAAGATTTCAGATCAATATTTCAGAAACTAAGGGCCTAGTTCGCTGTATACACACGGATGGACATAGCTAAATCATATCAACTCGTCACGCTGATCACTTACATATATTCATATGTATATATGTGTATATATATTATAAGATCTCCGACGTCTCTTTCTTGGTGTTATAAATTTTTTTGGCAAATTTAATATATCTGTTAGGGTATAAAAAACAGGAACGATTACGTGTACTTTCACCGAGTCGCGGTGCATACATAAGTACCTATGTACTTTTATATAAGCGAGCACGATTTTTACAAATTATCCATAACGGTGTCATTGTGTTTACATATACATACGTGCTTATGTACTTTTTTTATTTTATTCATTTTTTTTGTTTTTGACGTTACGGCGCCGCAAAGCGACTGAGGCCAATAAACCGAAAAGCACCTGTCTGCTAAGCAAAAGAAAGCAACAACCTTGACCCAATTTCAATCTTAGTAAATACATTTATCGTTTGTATTTATGTCGCGTTCGACTTCATTGTTGTTGGTTTCACTAATGCTATTGTTTAATACATAAATACATATTTAATTTTCCTTTTCAAACGCTTTCGTCTAATACCGAACCAAAATTTAATATATATGTGTGTTTGTATACGTACAGACATATAAAGTAATACCTTTCGTTACACAGCACGATGAAAGCGATCGTTCCAAAGGTCTGCGCATGTGCGCATGCGTAAAGACATATCAATATGTTAATCGCGGAGCCCAAAAGGCAACAAGATAATGCCATTACTGACAATAGGGTAAACAGAATTGGAAAATCTCCAATGACACAACAGTTAGACACGTGAAAATACACACAGGCAATCTCCGAAACGTTGCTGAGAATAATTGCTTTTCACGTGTTTCTGTTACGACTCCTTTGCATGTCATTGAACCGTTATCAGCCTACAGATATTTATTATCTCTGAATCGTGAGTACATATAATAACAAACATATACATAACAAACGTTATGAATTCTATCGGGGAGGTGTATGTGCATATGATGTAATATATAATATAATAGATAATTATGCTTGGAAAGTAGCTTTGAAATAATATATACATATATTTTTTTTTTGATGCAGAGTATGCATATATGTAATGACAAGATAAATACCACAAAAAAAAAAGTTAAATCGGAGGCGTTTAATAACCTCTATGCTGTAAAGTTACGGGTTGAGATTTTATTATTTCCTCAAAATATGAAAAAAGAGAGAAAGCTATTAATTTAGATTCAAATGATCTAAAAAGACAAACACCATATAAAGTAGATAAATTTCGGTATCTTCGATATCAGAAAACTATATCAAAGAATTTAGAGATCCGCTTACCACAAAAATTCTTTTTACATCTTTGGKGASGCCTATATTAGAGTATGCTTCCGTGGTATGGAACCCTTGTTATGAAGTTCATTCTGAGAAAATAGAGTCCGTTCAAAAACAATTTTTACTTTTTGCCTTAAATCATTTGCATTGGGATTCCAGTTTAAATCTTCACCCTTACACTAGCCGTTTAAAACTTATAAATCTCCCTGCACTCGCTAGTCGTAGGAAAATGCTTGGTATAATATTTCTTGTAAAACTCATCAAGGGGTCAGTCTGTAGACCGTCTCTCTTGTCTGATATTAATTTTAACATTCCCGCTCGCTCTACCAGGCAGTTTAGACCTTTACTTTTAAAACTGTCTAGAACAAATTTCGAGTTAAACAAACCATTCCGCCGTATATGTCACGATTTCAATTCTCATTCCAGCATATTTGATCTAACAGATTCACTCTTTACCATTAAAAAAATTATTTTATCTAGTCTTAACATATAACATTTAAAAATTATAAACTTAAATCTAATTCTTAATTTTGACTGTTGAAATTTTTGTTTCTGTAGCTAAGCAGCTTAAGATTGCAACGCTTATTGCCTGCCCTTGCCTTTTATGACTTTTCTAATTCCGCTCACTCGCGGATTACGCCTCTCGCGTCGATTGGGCTGGAGGAGGGTAATCGTTGGGTATTATTATTATAGCTTTCATATATTTACATATGTATATGTCAACTGACCAAGCAAAATCAAGTCCTTGTATGAAAAACTTTTTTTTGACAAGATATCTTGAAATTTGGCAGAGATTTCAGCCAAACCAACGCTACAATCTCTGAACATATTGTTCAGATCGGAGCATCGTACAAACTTATCGATCAAAATCAAGCCAAATATCTTTTTATACTCCTTTATACTATTATATTATATATTATTATAGCTCCGCCGACGTTAACTTTTTTCATTTAAAATAGAGTTATGTAGGTAGCAGTGAAGCGGTGCAAATATTTTCTGATAGTTATAAAATACTAAGTATTCTTTATTTTTACAAAAGGTATCATTTTGTTGTAATGTAATACGTGATCGTGAGTGCCGCGCCATATAAAACTGAATAATTACGAAATATTCGCTATCGTACCAATTAACTTGCTCATGCACTGTAAATTGAAATATGATGTATGTATACATATGAATATTTTCATATATGCATACATTTGTATGAATATATCAATATACATATGTATGTATATATACATATGTAATAAAATTTTAATTTTTTAAAGCTAGATTGCATTTCAACATCCAAAGTGTTATTTGGCTGGATTAGTAATCGATCTCAGAAAATAATTAAAATATGTAAATTACCCTGAGAAAGATATTTGCTGAATTTGCTGTTTACACAATAAAAAAAAATAGAAATAGCTCTGATAGAATTATCGGTGCTAAATTTAGCGACCTTGAACTCGTGGGAGAGGCATTATTAACGAAACAATATTTGTATTACTTTGGAATATTATTCCTACAATATCATACAAATTTGAATTATATTTCTTTTATTATTTTCCCATATCAACACTGTTTTCCTTAAGTAATTTTCTCAACACACGCAAACAGCCTACAAACCTTTGCCATTCCAGGATCATTATTCCTATCCATACTGTTAGGATTCCTCTACAAGTTTCCCATCGCCCTCTTTCTCATCTGCTTCTGTTCATCGTTGGGCGCCACACTTTGCTACAGCCTCTCGAATTTGGTTGGTCGTCGCTTGATACGCCACTTCTGGCCGAAGAAGACAAACGAATGGTCCAAACATGTGGAGAAACATCGCGATAGCCTCTTCAACTATATGCTCTTCCTACGCATGACACCTATCTTGCCGAATTGGTTCATCAACCTGGCATCGCCGGTAATCGGTGTGCCTGTGTACACGTTCGCCTTGGGCACCTTCTTTGGCGTGGCACCGCCGTCTATTGTCGCCATACAAGCCGGCAAGACATTACAAAAGATGAGCAGCTCCAGCGACGCATTCTCCTGGACATCGATGGGATTGTTGTCGATATGCGCACTGATCTCACTGCTGCCGGGATTGCTAAAGAACAAGCTGAAAAAGAAGGTCGAATAAAGTGGCGTCTGGACGCCAACTATGGTAAACGGGGATTGGTTTAGTAAACGGCGCGGTCAATACGACTAACGGGAATGGACAATGCGTGATTTTGTTTTATTGGTTGTTTTGTCGATTAGTTTAAGTGCGTGCGTTAAGCGTTAAAGAAATGATGTAAAGCTGAAAACATAGAAACACCCAACGTAGCTGCACGTGTATGTGTGTATGTTTTACATGTTTTTAGTTTCTTTAATATTTTTTATAGAATAATATAAGTGCTATGTACATGCTATGAATTCACCTATGCTACACATAAGTAACGGAAAACAAATGAAATGTTGCAATTTATAGCTTACTTCCTTTGAATGTACATATGGATGTATGTATATGTATATTATTCCAATAATAATTTAAGCTGCTACAAAATATAAGTTAGTTAAATTTTAATTTATTTATTTGCTAACTCTAGCACTTACATAGCTTTGCAGTATTCCGATCATTGTTGCAATTTTTTTAATTCAAAAATTAAAAATAAAATTTTTAACCTCAACATCATGGAGTAAATTTTCAAATTAATTAAATTTTTAAATTTGATTGCTGATGTTGGGATTAAAAATGAAAAATAAATTTTTTATTCGGTTTTGGAGATTACATTTTTTTTAATCCCGTATTTGTTATAAATTTTTTCAGTCCACGCTTTGTGAGTTAATTATTTATTATTTTTTCAATCTGGTATTTGGAATTAAATAAAAATAATTTTAAAATTTTAATCCAATTACTTTTTAAATGTATTATTTGCAACACTGATTCTAATTATTATTATTTTCTTGTTCTGTATGATTTTTTGAATTGCTCTAGACTAGTTGTAATATTCCATATTTGCTATGCTTAAAATATCTTTCCAATGTTTCACCTTATTTTGCACTAGTAAATGTAAAAATATAAAAGACATTCTCAAAAGTGTGTCCACAAGTGAAATGAATTTCCTAAATACAAAATTTTTATTAAATTTAAGTGTCAGTATAACTTAAGTAGCCCCTCAGAATGCAATATGTGTAAATGTTAGTAGATAAATTGGTCAAAATTGCCATAAATGCATAGTCCGATTGTAGATCGAGCGAAAATGTTTGCGAAAAAGATTTCATCACTTCTAAAAATGTATTAGAGACCGGAAATGATTATACAAAACTATTTTTAATCATTGTTGCAAAAAAAATGGTATATAAGTGACTTGCATAATATATAGTGCAAATTATTCCAAAAAATAAAATAGTATTTTGAAAAATCATAATGTTCCGAATTTAATTTATTTGTTTTTCAATTTTTCTTTTCAGCAGAAATTTCATTAAATCGAAAATCGTGAAATAATATAATTGTTTAAACTTTTGTGGATTGTTTATCGCAAAATTATATTTTTATAGTAATAGAATTGTAATGAATTTCGACAAGTGTTCAAATATAGCTGCGGTTGACTGTAGTAGATAATCATAACCCAACATTCGATGATCGTAGTTTCGAATATGGGCTTCTGGTACGTATAGTAAACTAAACAATTCAAAATTTTGCATAAAAAATATGTTGCTTTTATTTACTTTCAACTTAAAATAATAAGTATATTCATTGTATCTATGGTTCAATAAAAATAATACATATGTATATAGTGCGACTCAGTTAAATGAAATATGGAAGATATAATATATTTTTTGTTTTGCTTTTACGATTTTGTATGTTGGCGCTAAAGGTCAGTTTGGTTGTTCAATTACATTTTTTACATAATGTGGAATGTGCGTTTTCCATTTCTACAATTGATTTTGAGATCTCTGCAAAGCATATTCCTAGCAATTACAGTTAAATTTCTCTCATACAGCGCAAAGGCCAACATACTCTTTGGAAATTTTACTTATACAAGTGCTAATATGAATCCATGCATGTTAAATTAATATAATAAATAATATAAAATATATTTTAGGTGATGAGATAATTTTGGATTTTTTGTTTTGTTTTTGTATATAAATTAGCTTTTTTATGTGAGCATTTTAAGAAATGACCAGTTGCTGCTTTAAGCTGCCGAGGAAACTTTTATCTGGCATTTGTAGTCTTCGTTCCGTTTGTGTGATGCCGATGTCGATAATGCAGTTACAATAGTTTATTGGACCTTTTCGGCCCTATAGGCATATGCATGCAACTATTCTGATGGCGTTAAATCCTTTTCTGGTTCATTTTCATTCAAAATTTGCGAGAGTAAATCATGAACCGGCTCGAATGCTTTTTTCGCGCCACTATTCGTCAAATTCTTATAGTCGAACATGTCGTGATGACTAATGCTGTTGTCTGTTTGCAGCAGACCCTTATCGATGCAAACAGTTTGCACCTGATTGAGACCAATTACTTTTTCCTTAACAATTCGATTAACTGCATCGTTTTTCTCTCTCAATTTATTTGGTAGCTGACCGCGAGGCAGTAATGTCTGAAATTAAGTGTAAAATTAGAAAAACGATAACACGTCTACGCTGTGCAATTCAGATAAACATCAATTGTTTACATAAACCGTGTTCAAAATTAACTTACAGGTAATACGATATAAGTGTCCGGCAACTTCGCACGTATTCTTTGCACAATTTCCACTATACCTTCCGCTATCTGCTCAGCCGTATTTTCCGTATTATTAGTGCCCACATGCAATACCACAATCTATATATGAATAGAGAGATGGTATTCCCAAAATTTATGTTATAAAAAAATTTAATAATTACAGAATAACTACATCCTCAAGGCTTTGATAAAGTACAAATATTAATTTTGGTTTAAATTAATCATATTTTATTTTAATATATCCTACTTTGCAGTTTGTTTGTATTGTTACTCACCTTCGGTTTAACATTGTCCAGTTCACCGTTTTCCACACGCCAAAGCACATTTTCCGTTCGATCACCACGTATGCTGAAGTTAAGGCAATGCATTGGTGCAAAATATTCATTCCATGTTTCCGATTCCTGCAACGTTTCTAGAACACAATCTCCCAAAAATATAACGTCAGGATCCTTTTCACGACATTCAGAAATAAATCGACGATGAATACTGTTCGAAGAATTTACAACTCAATAAATATGTAGGGTGGATCAATTAATTAGGAAACTAATTAACATACCAAATCCAGCGTTCGTCGCCATCTACGTCCGGACGTTGGGTGGGTACAGTACAGGGGTTCATTTTTTTAATTTTTTGATTTTTGCTAAGGAAATAATTTCCACACTACCTAAATACACTTAAAATTATACGGAAGAAACGTATAAGGTTTTCGTAGATTTTGTTTCTTTCTTTAAGATTTTTCCGGTAATTAATATTTTAATAAATTTACAAAAAAGAAATTCGCAGACTAGCCTGACGTTTATCTAATGCTTCTTTTCTTTTTACTAACCATTCACAATAGTGCTTCTGTGTACTTTTTGCGAAAAGATTTAGTTTTGAGGACTGCTGAGGACATTTTAATGGAAATAAAAAATAAATGTCGATTTTGTAACTTGGAATTAACCGTGTCGCAAAAGAAACATGTATTTCAAAGAGCAATAACAACCTCGCATATCAAACATCTTTTTCTTGATTTTCAGGTATTATAGTTACGTACACCTAATAGCACTTAACAATAAATAAACGGAACTTTTAACCCATGAAAGATAAAAAAAAATATAATAAATTTTATCATTTAATAAATATATTTGTATTTAAATTAATGCAGCCATTTTCCAAGCTAGTTTATGCAAGTGGTGGTAAAAATTACACATCCATAGATATTTAAGAGTGCTTGCAAAATAATTGCCATATTATCCGTTCATACGAAATCAGTTACTATAAACACTTTGTCTGAAATTCAGTTGCTACTCTGCGAACTGCTATAGCCCATATATGCCTGGTGGCCTTGGTCGTTAATTGATTCGGTTTCCATTACGTGCTCTCCAAGACTATCGCCAGCATCTTGATACAACTCATATTCATTGCACGCCATCTCACGCAATTCTTCTTCCGTATGCGACTGCTTATGCACACCCAGATCTTCAATTGAAAAGAACCCACGACTACAGGTGTTACATATATGGGGCTTATCACTTCGGTGACGCTTTTCGTGATCGATTAGATTTTTTCTTGTTATAAAACGTTGCGAACAAAAAGAGCAGACATGTGTGCGCAAGTTCTTGTCATGACTTTTCATATGTGATTTGAGGCCTTCCACTTGAGCGTACCGCTTGTGACAGAGTTCACAATTGAACGGACGTTCGCCAGTGTGTAGACGTTCATGGCATACTTGCGAATTACGTGTACCAAAACGTTTGGGACAAAAACTGCATGGAAAGCGTCGTTGGCCCTCGTGTACGACACGCACATGGCGAGATATAGCATTTTTATGGTTGAATTCCTGCGGACAAATGCTGCACTTGAATTTCTCCAGATTCGGTTTATGTATACGCATATGCGTTAATAGCTCCGTGCGCGTTACTTTGGCAACGCCACATACTTTACAAACATGATCCTTGATTTGGGCATGTCGCTTCAAATGTTCGGAGAGTGCACGTTTTGAGCTGTATGTCTTGAAACAGTGTTGACAGATATGGTTTATCTCTACTTCTTCATTCAGTTGAGCTTGGTGAAGTTCTAACATATCCTTTAGGCCGTATGAAAACGTAGCTGCATTAAAATAAATACACAATCAATCAACATATTTACCATTATATAGGATTTCACCAAAATATTTAATTTACCTGTATGTACGACTTGTCGATGAGTCTCCAAAGTATTGCTCAACTTAAAAACGGCATCGCAGCCATTTAAACCGCATATAAATCGTTGTTTGATTAAATGCTTAGATTGAATATGCGTATGTAGATGTTCGTAGCGTGTGAAATCCTTTTGACATTCCAAACAAAGAAACGGCTTCTCAAACCCTTCATGCACGGCCCGAATGTGAGCGTCCAGGTACACTTTTTTATAGACTTGTTTATCACAACGAGGACACTTTAATGACTTTTTGTTGCGATCGCGTTTACGGGAGGATGCACTAAACCTTTGTCTTCCTCCTACAGTTACTGGTGAGTTATTAAGAGACATACTGGACGTATTGGCCGCGCCATTTCTCAAAGCATGTTCCTCATCATCTGCATCATCGCTAACTGAGTTATCTGCTGCGCTTAATGCATTACGTTCATAGAATAGGGAATTATCTTCCTCGTATTCCGAATCAATTTCATGCTTTACAACAACATTCGATGAATTTTCCGAATTATCATCATTTGGTAATATAGTTTCAGACTCAGATTTATAATAGTTTTCCGGTTCTGTTTTAATTGGTCGTTCCATCAACGGAGCTAGTTCTGGTAAAAGCTAAATTAAAAATAATAATAATAATATAATACTTCAGTAAAAATTGTACAAATAAAAGCATACATTTCTGTTAAAATAACTTTCATAATTGAACTTAATATTCATACGTATAAAAGACCATATATTCTTACCAACTGATCATCATCATCATCGTCATCATTGAATTGGTAGCTTCTTTCCCTTACTACAGTCTCTGTTTTTATCTCTTTAGTAATTTCAATTGTTTGAAACGTTGGTGTCTCAGCAGAAGTTTTGGGCATTTCATCATCCAAACTATTAACAATTTTGTATAAGACTTCCGCAGAATTAATGGCCAAGTTTCGAAACTCTTGGAAATCAATCATTTTTTCATAGCATAGTTGACATAGACTTCGTGGGTAAGCATCTTCATCGCTATCCTCTGATATTTCCAAGGAAGTAAATAACATGAATAATTTTTGCAATTGCGGTAGCAGACTAAGATTATAACTATGATTTGTTTCAGAATCATTTTCGTCATCTCCTTGATTAACCTTAACCTTCAGCTGTTGAAAACTAGTAGGCGTATCCTCCTTTTCACGTTTGCGACGTTTTTGCAAACTGCTTAAGCAAGTTCGACAGAATTCTTGCAAATTATTGCGCGTAAGTTGATTATTCATTATTTCACTGCTTCACAATTACTATATTTTATAATTATTTTTCACAAAGTTCACAATTTGTCAATATCAAAACTATAATCGATTTTCTATGAATTTTTCTTGAGCGTTGGTTATTTTGACATTTCTTGAGTAAAACAGTGTTGTGACATCATTGCATCAGCTGCTAATAATAAGTTTATTTTTTTTTAAATCGGTTTTTTTTTTTTATTTGCAACATAGTTTGCTTTAATATCTACTACATATTCCGAAATTCTATATTTTGCCAATATCAATGTTATTTTTCAATTATTTTTATTAAATGGTGAACCAAAAAGATGCTATAAAATGAAAGTAAAATGCAAACATGGGGCAGGGTTGCAAAGTAGTCTCCTAACCGAATTGACAGAAAAACTAAAAACAGCTGTGCGTAAACAAAACAATTTTCTTCAAAATCTGTTTTTGATTTGATATACAAACAATGCACTGTATTAGTTAATTACTTTCAATTTATTTACAAAGATATAAAGAATTATAGTATTAATAACATTATATTACAAACTAACATCTTTAGAACAGCCTGGTAATTCTAAATCCGTCTCAACTTCTTTTGCTGACTCCACTTTTGTTTCAAAACGTTGTTCTGTGACCAAGGGAATTATAGCTTTCAGTGCCAATCCCTTTTTATGGGTTTTCATGTGCGCTCGAAGTGCTACAATCTGTATAAAACGTTTGCCACATAATTCGCAACCATGAGGTTTTTCACCAGTGTGTCTCATTTCGTGGTGTTTCAAAGTATCTTGTTTGCCAAAACTGAGATCACAGAATCTACATGTAAAGGGTCGGATTCCCTTATGTACAATACGATCATGCATGCCAAGATTACCAGAACTGTTGAAGACACTTGGGCATTTTGGACAGGGCCATTGTTTCTCTTTTGTGTGGTAATTAATGTGTGCGCGTAGTTCATTTTGTGTAGTTTTTTTCATGCCGCAATAAGTACAAATATAATTTTTAATGCCGGAATGTCGCAATTGATGATCCTTATAAGTTCGTTTAGAACGATATCTTTTACCACATTCTTCACATTTAAAAGGGTAATCTTCTTCGGGTGCGTGTTTATAGCGATGCTCTTTGAGTGTGGTTACATTTCTAAATGTTCTTCCACAATCCTCACAGACATATCTTTTAGATTCACGACTTTCATAAGGAACTGTTGTATGTTTAAGACGGTAGTGGTTTTTATAAGTATTTTCGCGCTTGAATATTTTACCACAACCCTCAAACGAGCAGATATATTGCAGTGTCACAGGTCCGTGATCCTCACGTACATGGGCACGGAAATGAGCTGCTCTATTAAAGCTGCGATTGCATTCACTGCACACATATGGTTTCAGGCCTTGATGGGTACGTAAGTGGGCTTCATAATTTTCCCAAGTTACACAGCGTCGAGGGCATTGCTCACATTGAAATTTTACTTCAGGTACATAGTTTCTACTTTTTTTAGCGGATGGCATTCTTAAGGAACTATCTCCGTTTTTTGCAGGTTTCTTTGTTTTATTATGAGGAAACATTTTATGCTTTATAATTCTTGTTTTGTTGGTGTCTCGTGTTGTTGTTGATAAACTTAGGGAATATTCACCATTTCCAACACCTGGTTTGCCACAATTGTCTTCGCATTCATTGTGTTGCGCATCTGTAGTTTGAATAGAAGTATCTACATATTGAAATCTTTCATCATTTTGTTCCACGTTTGTTGCTCTCGAAAATTTGAAATCATCCAATGTATCTTCATCGTCTGATGTTGTCTTTTGGTCTCCTTTAATAGCACTTATATCTATCTCTATTTCTTCAACAACTTCATCAAATATTTCCTCTTTAAAATCTTTATTCATAGCACTGTGTGTACCGCCAGGGTCTTGAAGAATTTTTACTACCTGTCAAATGAATAGAAAATGTATTCAAAAATTTAGATTTAATTGTTTTTCATACCGTATTTTCTATACAATTTTGAAGCTTTTCATGACTTCTTGTTGAGTATGTATATCCATGCAAAACTTCAATATCAGATATTCCTACACTATTATCTTGTTGGTCTTCACTACCTTGACCACTGTCCAGCATCCTTTCATTTTCGAAAATTGTAGTCGAATCTTTATGCTCTTTTAGAATATTGTTTAAAAAGAGATGTGACTGAATAATTTTATCACGGAAATCATTAAAGGACTGTAATTTTTTATGACATTTATAGCATATGAACTGCGGGAGCTCGTCAAAGTCTTCTGTGGGCGTTGAATTGCACATTAGTATAAATTTTTCGATATCTTCATTTTCATAAACGCTATATTTTTCACCCAATAGTGATGACTTGTCCCCCAGTTCTTCAAGACACGTCCGACAGAATGATTGCATATTTTCATGTGTTATTTCACTCATTTCGTCAAACAAACTTTAAAGCTATAATTTCTTTCAAAAAAATAAATACTCCCAATAACAATATATGAAATTAAATAAGGATCTCGTCCTATTGTTTATAAAATTGCCGAAGAATAAAAAAATACAAATTATTTGACAGCCAACAAATTTTGTACGGTTGCATTCCACAATGTGCTGTAGTGCCAGATTGTCTCAAAAATAATATACAAATGCATTAAAAAAAAAAAAAATTATATGAATATATAATGAGATGAAATTTTTTTAGGCAAATAAGCTGTGTGAAGGTATATAATTCATTTAAATTTGTCATGTTAATACTCAATTGGTGTCAATCACGAATAAAGTGTTTCTTACGAGAAATTTGAAATATTGGTAATTGGCAGATAAGAAACAGGCCTTTTGACATTTTTATATACAGCTATTTGAATACATATACTCTTCGTTTCCGCAGACAACCGATGTTTCCGTTAATTCTGCCAAAGCTGACAGTTTACCGACGTAAGCATTAAGAATGACAGTTTCACAAAGGAAAAGAGCAAATAATAAAATATAAAATATATAACTACTTTGAGAAGTTAAGAAATATAGCTACAAGCTTTGGAAAGAATTATACGATTCATGTCGATATCAGGGATATTGTTATCAGATACCGGCAGGCGTCATGTAAGAACAAAAAGCAAAAGGTATTCTAACCTGAATACCTACAACCAGTCACAGCCTCGTGCAAGCTATAGTCAACTGTCATATCGCAACAAAATACGACGAAGAAAAATGTGCGAGTAAAAGCATATTCTTTGATCAGCTTCACATTCAATCATAAGACGTAAATTGATATGTGCGAAGACACTCCTAGAGCACCTGATTTATCGTATCATTACAAAGTCGTTTTCGAATTATGTTTAGAAAGTCGGGTTCCAAACTGAAAACTAAAGATTGTTTCCATATGCTGGCTGCCACCACCGAACCTCAGTAGTAAAAAAATTAAATTACGTTCAACAACAGCAAATAAACATACATAAAACGTGATCTTTTTATAATCACAGTTAATATTACAGCAACATTACCAATCTTTTAAGCCCACAACAGTGATACTTCGATCTGCTTAATCCCCACCGGTAAGTGAAATAAAATGAAAACACATTTCATATCGTTTTTAAATGTATATATTTATGTATATTTACTATTAATTTGAAATATAATAGGGTATTCATAAAAACACGTAAATGGATTTATTAAGTGTAGCCTTATAATTATTTTACAAGTACAATTTGCCATACAATTTTTGTTGTAAATTAACGACATAAATTCATTAATTTATCCATTTTTTTTTTTCAATTGCATTTGTTCCTCGTCTTACAAGCTTGTGATAAAAGTTACAAATATTCCAATGTGTTGCAGGCTATATACGTATTTCTATGAGTACCGCTAAAATATATAGTTTATTACACACTATAACTCAATTCTTTCAAGCGTTAGAATTGTTTTCATTTAGTAACTTTAAACTTATATAACTACAAATGTACTAATATATGTAATCGCATTATTATACTTTTACTAGGATTAATTAAAAAATATTTATCCAGTTATTTTTTAGCATTTACATTTAGACTTATTCATAGTTCATTATTCCTCATTTAATTGTGATCCTTATGTGTAATTGCTCATTATATTGTAGACAGTAAGACAGACAATAGTTTCACATGTTCACGTTTACATATACAATTACAAACTAGAATATTTATTTATATTTTCTTTTACTGTAGGTTATAAATTTGTTTGAATTCATTGTGCATAACCATATTTAATATTAATAATTATTTTACAAATTCCTTAAACTCTGTTAGCTAAATAATAATAGAGCAGTTATATGTAATGCTTAAATGTAGATATATATTATTTTAGTATTGTATTTATGTTTACAAATATGTTTATACATATTCTTTATTAACATCCTTTGCCTATGTGCCAAAAATAATAAAACAAAATACAAGTTATATAATCAGTTCTCTTCTTAATTTCCAATGTACAAGTATGGTAAAAAATATTTTAAATTAATATTAATTTTTTTTTATTAAAAATTTCATACTTAATTTTGGAAAACTTTACAAAGTGAGTGAGTAAGTATGAAACTTTGTTATGCTTATAATTATTATTATATAAATACGCAATTTACAAATTTTATATACAAAAATTTTTAGATACTTAAAAAAAACTCTAATAGTATAAGCACGATTTTTGGCGCACCAATGTCGTTTGGTTAACAAATACAAGTAGTTTTATTAAAATTTCAATAAATGAAATCTAAATAATTGTATATAGTATTTTCCTAAATGAATAATTTTTTAACACTACTAAAATTTTTAATAAAATATGTTTTTTTTTACAAAAGTTAATTAATCCATTTAATTAATTTTTAACACTAATAATCAGAAAATTGTCAATAAAATGTGTTTGCATTAGGATCTTTTTGTTAATTTACTCAATCAAATTCTTTTTRGAAAAACTTTCAATAAAATACATTTTACGAAATTTATATATTAAGAATAATGTTTCATTAATTTTATATTTAAAATATTAGCAATCAGGATTTAATATAAAAGTAGAAATATTTATCAATAAATTTTTCATTAAAAAATTGGAAGTTTTTCTTGCCCATTTATGTAAAAATTCAAATTTACATTAATTTTAA